TTAGATCTATTTGAAAACATCCAGTAAGAAAGCGTGCACTTATAGCTGCACTTCTCGGACTTAGTAGAACAACAGTTCTGTAGTCCAAGCCGTTCACGTAATGTTGAAGCAAGCAAAGAGAATGTACATCTTCTTTTCCGCAGTGTTCTCTTAAGAAACTAGACAAAAATTTTCTCTTTGTAAGTTCGAGTAATGCAAACATTCTTGAAAGTTTGGAAGAACTCGAAAAAGCACATGCCGTTCGTGTTCCTTTTTGCATATTTCCACTATGCAAAAACTTGATAGCCTAGGGATTATGCAAATCCTAATAACAGAGGCTTTGAGCAAACAATTAAGAATAAAAATCAGCGATAACATTTTCGAATGACGTTTCGATGACCCGTGCACCATTCGAAATTATTATCGCTGATTTTTATTCTTAATCTATTATGAGCCTCCCAGTACCCACGGAGTAAGTCGGACTTGATCTAGCTGTTCGCTTCCATTTTCGCCTAGTCTTGGGTTTTCACCAGGCCAGATCGATTCCCCATGACTCATTACCATGTCATGAATAATAATACCTACGGTAGAATATTACATTATTCCATCCAATTGAAACAACGAGGATGTTTCTTGTTTCTTAAAATAATGAGAGCTTTGTGTAATGTTGCCATACCTGCTGAACGCCTTCTCCTACTGATAACAAAATCAACCGCAGCACACGTTACTTTCACATTTTTTGCCTTGCACTTGTCCTTGAGTGCTGGATCTTGGCAGACCTCTTTGAAGAAAGACTCGTTTAACAGTTGGATAAAGTTCTGTTTTATTTGAGCCTGGGCTTCTGGCGTATTACAGTCACCATAGTAGTAGTGCAAATCCATTGCCATCCTGACATTGTTGGGGCGGTATACCTCTACAAAAGGGTGGACAAACAAAACGAGTTGGGTCTTCCTTACATTATCTGAGGGTCTGGATGGGTTTTAACTGAACTGATAGCAGAGAATAGGTCAAGATTTGTGAAAATATGAAAAATATGCGGGGTTTCTTTTTTTTCTTTTTTTAACTAAGAACTGCGATCTCAGATCAGCAAAATTTGCCGATAGTTGAGAATGAGCTGAACTTTGACTGATAACTAAATAAAATCGCCCAAAATGTGGAAAGCTTTTAAAACACGAAATGGCGAGATTACGAAATGGCACTACAAGTAAGAGTCCATGTGGGATATGGGTGTCTGTAAGCGTTACCTTTACAATTACTGAGAGCTAACCACTGTCAAGGCAGTAATATTTAGGCTAATCTGAGTTCTATTGAGGCTAACTGGAGCCATTTGGCCATTTCGTTGCTTAAAAACGCCCTGAAATTTAACTGATAACTGAGTTCCCACCATTTCATCTAGACCGTCTTAAAAAAAAATTGTGGCTTGGTAAATATTGACAGAATTTCATTTCTAGTGTCAAGCACTTTTATAGACCATGGGAACTGCGTCATAACATTAGTTTTTAAAACGCAAGTACAACCGCTAGACTCAGGCCCATAATACCCTTCTCCGTTGACATTTAATTAATTTTACTTCAATATAAAACATGATTAATTCAATCCACCATTTGGATTACACTACATTGTTATGTCCTTAGCAAATAACATAAATCAAGATAAGATTCCAGAACGGTAAAAAAGAAAAACTATGAAAGAACATATTAACATTGCGAAGTTACTTACGAAAATAATATCAAAGTAACACATAGCAAAGGAGCAAAACAATTATGTCAGAAAATTTCAATTTTCGGTACACTTGCACAGTTGACACAGTTGACGGTTTGTTGTCACATATTAAAAATGCCCCTTAAAGACAAGCCATCGCCAAAAGAAGACAGGGAATGGTATTTATGTAATTTCTTGTGTTGTAGTGTAAAAAGGAAAAATGCAACTAATTATTTACTCACTTGTACAGTCTGGAAAACGATTGGTTGGCATCCAAGTTCCTCTTGCTCCGCAAACCCACATAGTCGCAGGTAAAGGTTGGGCAAAGTCCGATTTGTTGCTGCAAAAAGGTGAACAGAACGTTCCAAACATCCAATCGTCACAAGCCTTTGCGCCCCCTTTGGGAGGAGGCAGGTCACTGCACTTCGTCGCTGTACGAGTAAAGAAAATTAAATTTTTCCAACAATTATTGTTATTGTTCTTCTTCATTCTTTCTGACCGGTTACTTTCAAAAGTACTTTTCAACATTGATTGTTAGTTTTGTTAAAAATACAAAGAACCGCTGATAATAATTTTGTTCATTACAATGTCGTCATCAACACAATATCTTCTGCATAGTGAGATACAGGCAATTAGGGGTTAAACTGATGGTATTCCGAAGAGGTCACCGTAGTTTATCAAGTATTAGCACATAATAGGAGTAAAACAGTACGCGACAAAGAGGAAGTCGACATTAAATTTAACACCAAAGAGTTTGGCTAGTTCAAGGTACTGAGCGGTAGTTGCATGTGGCACGGGACGTTTATACAACTTTCAGATGCTTGCCCTTTTCTATTTTTTCAAAATTGGGTCTTCAAATATCTTAGGTTAGTCTACCTGATGCTTACGTTTAACCGTTATAGTAAACTGGCAAACAGCTGGGTCGTTATCTGGATTATCATCGTAAGCTGTGCAATGCACATTCCATGTCCCCCAGTAAAACTCAGTCCCACTTTGATGACTGCATGTTATCACCAATGGACTATTGCTGTTGTCTTTAAACTGAGGTTCGTTCCACGTAACTGTTGTTGTCATCTTCGTAGCAGTAATTTTCTGGTCTGCGGGGCAATATACAACCTGAGGGCCTAAATTATCTACGATGAAAATATATAAAGGGTTTGTGTCAAGAAAAGACTCTATCCTCGGAGCAGATTCTATTACATTGACATAGCTCTACCGGCCATTTTGGCGATAATTCTTACACCACACAATGACAAGAGAGAAAGAGCGGAGAGTGATCGGTCTTCACTCTTAGACCGAGGTGAGATTGTTGGCAGCTGACAGAGTGCTGGACTATAATTTCCTAGCCTTTTACTCAGACATTATATGAGTAAGGAATCATGTCAGCAATATAAAAAACAGTTCGGAAATCAATTTGGCATAATTCGCCATACACGTGGCAAAATCTCTTTCGGACTCACCTTCCAAAACTACTTTAAACGAACACTCTTTCTTGTTCCCACTTGCATCTCTTGCAGTGTAAACAACAAGAGTAGTTTTATTGAAGACGTGTGGTGGGCTGATCCCTGCCGGAACAACTGTAACTTGTGGTGGCAGATCGTCGTTGTCCAGAGCGACAGGCTCCGTCCAATTAACCAATGCTGTAGAATTTACATTGATGCTTGCGCGAATATCTGAAGGACAATTACTCTTGAACACTGGTGGGGTAACATCTATGAGAATATGTCAATACAAAAATACGTTAAGATTTCAGACGTACCATCTTCCTTGACGGATCATCATAGCCCAATCGTTTAACTATTATAGAAATCAGCTGACTTTTAAAAATGCAGTTCTCTAATAAGCTAAAGGCCGCATGTGTCTCTATCCACCCAAATAGAGACGGAAACGTTATAGATCTATGTAACATGTGTTTCTAAATAAATATAGTTGAATCTAAACATCCGCTGTGTGTTTTTGTTGTTGTTGCTGTTGTATATAGCTTTACTAGACTGGAATAAACTTCTAATGAATACTTTAAAAGTGAAATGTTTTAAAATAGATATAAATGTTTCTTTCAACAGGGAGCCCACTTCACATACATGTGGTTTTCAGTGGGGCCCTGCAAAAATAAAATTGCAAAAGCTAAAGAGATAGTAGATTAAAAATAATAATAACATTTAACCATTGTGCTAATAGAAATATAGAAAACAGTAAAAAAAAAAAAAAAAAAAAAAAAAAAATGAGAATTAAAAATTAAGAAAAACCCCTAATTCGACTTTTAAAATTAAAAATACTGATACTGTTCCTAACTTCATTGGGTAAAGTATTCCATTCATTAACTGCATTGTAAATAAAACGCTTTTGTCCCCAGGAGTGACGGGATGGAGGCCTAAAAATGCTGTCTTTACTTCTCGTATTATACCCATGAATATCTTTAAAACTACAAAAATTAAAATCCCAGTCTATTAAACCATTTAAGGCCTTAAAAATTAAAATCATGCGATGAAACCTTCTTCTTCTCTTCATGTTCTCCCAGCCGAGCTGTACGAGTGCCTCTGTAGCAGATGAATGCATTGACTTGTCGAGAACAATCCTCGCAGCTGTGTTTTGCAGTACTTGGATTTTATTCATCAGGATTACATTGTTTTTGTCTCCCCATGTAACATCCGCATAGTCTAATAACGGTATTATGGTCGTCTTA